TCTTAGTCACCCAGAAAAGAAAGCTTCATTAAAATACATGCACCCATTATTCCTGTGGTAGGGAGAAAGGGAATGGGGAAAATTATGCACTCTTAAAAATTTCCCCTAGAAGTGACATATCACTTTCATTGACCAAACCAAATCAGATGGCTATATTCAACTCTAGAGAAAAGGATTAAAATCCTACTACCAAGAACCCAACAGGAAGAAAGCTAGAAATATTAGGTGAATCATGCTAATTACAAGCAATTTTGTTTTCCAGCCCTTTCTAGAAATGGCTAGCAGGAAGAAAATACAACAAAGAGACAAATTTTCAGTAATAAAAAAGAATACATACAAGTAACAAAAAGTCTCATTAAAACATATGTTACTGGTTCTAAAAGATCTGTAGAATAAATTATCAACTTCTACATATTGAATAAAGTATCTGATTAATACAAACTGAGTTGACCTTAATTTTTATATAAAGTACAGGTAAGTGGACTTTGTGGAGGTAATGGGGAAGGGAGGAGAATGGAAGATGGGTAGGAAAAAATTATTCAGATGCAATAAGTTTATGTGCCAACTCCCCAAGATGAATGTAATCATTATGTAACGCGAGCACATACTAATTTAAAAAAACACCTAAAAAAAGAAACAGAAAAAAGAAGTAAACCTATACAGCAATATCCTCTTTAATATTTATGAGTCCAGTCATTTTTTAAAAGTTAACTCAAGTACCTAACTTTGTCAAGTTCCAGTGAGATAACAGGGATTTAAAAAGTTAAAATTTTCTGGGCATAGTAGAGCATACCTGTAACCCTAACCCTAGCTACTCCAGAGGAGGCTGCCTGGGTGATTAAGTAGACCTTGTCTCAAAATAAATAAGAGCTGGGAATGTAGCTCAGTGATAGAGTACTGGTCTAGTATAAGCAAGGCTCTACATTGAATCCTCAGTACCAAAAAAAAAAGCTAAAATTTGTGTCATCAGAACATTGTTCAGTATTAACCATTCTGCAATACAACCTTTAGCATATTTTAAAAATAAATAGGAATTCTGTAATACATTTTATAGAAGATCATTATACAACAATCAATTGCATTAATATATATAGAAATGAACATGTGGAAACTGAATTTAAAACACAATGACATTTACAATTGCTCCAAAGAAAATGAAATATGTAAGCACAAGGGTAACAAAATGTGTACAAGTTTAATGTTGAAAACTATAAAACATCAATGAATGAAATATAAGAAAACCTAAATAAATGGAGAGACATACTGTGTTCATGATTCAGAACACTCAGCTATTAAAACTGTCAATTCTTCCCCAAATGACCTATAGATCGAATGCAATTCCTATCCAAATCCTAGCTAATACTTTATGGACACAGATAAAGTTTATCTGTGAAACTGTTTATCTTTAGAACTTTATTCTAAAGTTTATATGGAAAGGCGTGGGACCTAGGTTATCTAAAACTATCTTGGAAGGAAACATTATGCTTGCTAATAAGGCCAATTTATGTCTATCATAATGAAGACTGTAGTAACGGTGGTATGACAGACACATGGGTCAACAGGATAAATGCAGAAACCAGGAATAGAAGAATACAAAAACAATTCAATGGAGGAAAGATAGCTTTTGCCACAAATAATAGTAGAACACATAGACATCCATAGGCAAAAAGTGAACTTCAACCTAAACTATTCACTTTACCTAAGAATGAATTCTAAATACATCATATATTTAATGGAAAGCTTAAAACTATTACACCTTTAGAACAAAAATATAGGAGAAATGTTTTGAGACCTAGAGCTAGGCCAAAAGTTCTCAGGCTTAACACCAAACCATGATTCATAAAAGGAAATACTGATAAATTAGACTTCAGCAAAATAAGAAAAAGTGTGTTATAAAAACCCTGTAAGAAGATGAAAAGACAAGCTATAGAATTTGAGAAAACATTTGCAAAGATATACAGACTTCAAATACACACATAAAAGATAGTAAATATCATTAGGTATCAGGGAAATGCAAATTAAAACCACAGTGAGATATCATATATACCTAGTAGAGTGACTAATATAAAAAATAATAACAACAAATGCTGGCAAGAACACATAAAAACTGGATCTCTTATACATTGCTGATGGAATATAAGATAGTACAGCTACTCTACAAAGCTATAGCAGTCCTAATAAAACTAAATATGCATTTACTATACTACCGAAAAATTGAACTGTTGGGCATTTATGCCAGAGATATGAAAATTTATATTTATGCAAAAACCTGTAGACAAATACTCATAGCAGCTTCATTTGTAAGTCAAAATCTGGAATCAACCCTTCAATAGATGGATGGGTGCACAAACTGTGACACATCATACCAGGAAATACTACTCTTAGTAAAAAGCAAACTACAGATACTTGAAACAACTTGAATGGGGCTACAAAGGATTGGAAGAAAAAGCCACTCTCAAGAGGTTACACATTGTATGATTCCACGTAACATTCTTAAATGACAAAATTATTGAGAGAGAGAGAAGAATTTAGTGGTTGCCAAGGGGTGGGGGGGGGGAGAGAAGATAGGTGTGATACAATAGCACTGAGGATCCCTGTGGTTATTGGCACTGTTCTGCTTCTTGAATGTGGTGGGGTGGACACATGAAGTTACACATATAATAAAATTGCATACAACTGTAACACAGGGCATGTAAAACTGGTGAAGTCAGAATATGGTGAAAGGGTTGTATCAATGTCAACTTCCTAGCTATGATATTGTGCTATAGAAATGCATTCTGTTACCATAGGGCAAAACTGGACGGAGTGCATTCAGGATCCTTCCGAATTATGTCTCAAAACTGCATGAGAACTTACAATTATTTCAAAATAAAAACTTTAAAAAAATCAGTATGAACTTATGTTCACATTCTCATTTAATAAATATAGAAAAAAAGACATGGAGATAATCATTGGTTTAGTTTGCATAAAACCTGGTGGGATGCCTGAGTTAGAACTCATCCAAAGTGGAGTTCCAATTCATAAATCAAGACAGGAACGAATATAAAAACTACAACATTTACAATAATGAACAACTTTTCAGAGAATTCCGGTGGCCCTGTATATGGTTGCCTGAACCAATCCAGTAGTGCCAAAGGCCAAAAATAATTTGTTTTAATTTATTGGGACATCTTATTATGCAGTATTTTAATACTACATTAATCAATGAGAGTGAGTGGTTGTAGCCAAATACGTAAATTTTAAACCCCAGTGAGTCTATTTACTTTATTTTATTATTTTTTATTAGTACTACATGTTTGTGACACATAATAATTACTTTCATTTTGGAGAATACATATCAAATCTTGATCATTTTTACTTCCCCTCCTCCATCCTTGCCTTCCCCTCTTTCCATAGATCTATTGATTTTAAGTGCTAGGATTCATGTTTGTTCCAGGCTGTTTTTTGAAACCCATTTTTGCTGAATACTTTGTAGGCATTTTGGAAGTGATGACCTGGAGAGGAATGCATACACAAAACAAATTTAACAACCTGTCCTTGCACTTGGAGAATTCACAATTTAGTGAGACAAAACATCAGCATATTAAATGGAATAACAGCTATAGGGTAACCAATTAACAAGTCCAAACAAATATATACACTACAGCACAAATTAAATACATGTGGCAATATATGGCTACCCAAATGGCAGGATTAAGCTAGACATTTTGGGCCCTGAAGGCAACATTTCAGAAAGGGCCACTTTTCCTTTTTTAACAGTGAAATAAACATCTCCAGCAATACAAAGGCTAGCTGGATATTAGCACTTCAAAGGAAATAAAAAAGGACAATTATTTGTGTTTTAAATTTCCTTTGTTGTCTGCTCCTGATGTGAAAGTTGTTGACAAGTCATAATTTCCCCAAGTATCAATTTTTTCATCTACGGAATGGAAATAACAATCAGAGAATAGTGAGTTGAAAGTCAGAAAATTTGAATTGGAACCTCAAATTTGTCATTGGCTAGCTTTGCGACCTTTGGTATAGCAAACACTCTCTACATCAGTTTCCTGTTCTGTGAAATAAAAAGGTTAAAATTAAATGGTTCAGAAATTCTCCAGCAATTCATACTTGAAGTCACTCATAGTTCAGTTTGTTGTGAGGGTTTAAAAAATAATATTGGTATACAGCATATTAAAATGTGCTATAAACCATAAAGTGCTACACAGAATATTGATATTATCCAGTTTATGTAGAAAAATCCCAGCAGCTCTCCTCCAAATTTGGAGGCCTAAAATATAAATGGGTTTGGTCAAGGCAGTGTTTTCATGGGGCTTACAGGATTTTGATAAATTTCTTGTAACTATAGGTCATCCAATAAACACAAATTTGTAATAGTTTGTCTCAGGCTCACCAAGGCATCAGCAGTGCCACAGTGACTTTAAGGTTTGGCCTTGGGCCAATTTAGAATCTCCTAAAGCAGTGATTGGCTGTGGTAGGCCACTCCAAGTTTCCTTCAAGACACTTCTAGTTAGATCTCTCTTTATGGCAGAAAGTAGATATCTAACCCCTCCCCCATTTTCACAAACCCATCTTTAAGGACAACAAACCTTTCTCTTTGCCACAATGAGGATCATGGGAAATGCCCCAAGTGATAAGTGGCATGCTAGGGCATATTTTGTCTGGCCAGCTCAACTTGCATGCTACACACCAGCGCAGGACCCGAGCAGGCACACCAGGAAAGATCATTGTGCCTCCAGAGGGAAGGTGCAGGACTTCCAGGTACGGGTGTGGAACAGTAGCCAAGGCCTTCAGGGCGTGCTCAAGTACTGAGGAGCTCCTAGGTGCATCCAGTGCAGAGGGGAGGAGGGACTGGAAGAGATGTGCGGTCCCTTTAAGACCCCAACGCTCTCCCAGCCAAAGGAAGGGGGGTGCGGTGAGGGCGCTGCGTGATGGGAAAGTCGGCGGCTGTGCCTCACACTTTCTCCCAGTTCTTTAACTTTCCGGCGGGGGGAGCAGAAATAAAGCTGTGGTGCCCGGAGGGAGAAGGCGTGAGTGCTTGAACTGTTGCGTGCTTGTGGACTTCCCGCCAGCTCCGCGGCCTCTCGGGCCAAGTGGGAGGCGGGTGGGCAGGTGGCCCCGGGCCGCAGCGTCCGCGCCTTGGCTGTACCCCGCAGCCCAGCGAGCCGCCGCTCCCTCGTGGTGTGAGGGCGGTGGTGTTTTTTCCTCCCACCCACTTTTGAGCAGCTCCTCTCCGCGCGCGCACTCCAGCTCTCGCCACAACCTGCGAACCCCAGACCTCTGAGGAGCGCCCCGGGGAGCCCAGAGCGCAAGCACGCGTGACAGACGGAGAAGACCAGCACCCAGGTCAGTGAGCACTACCTGCGCCTGCCCCCTCCACCTTCATTTAGCGCCCTTGCACAGGTGGTGTGCTTTCTGTTGGCTGCAGCCACCCCTGGAATTCCCCTAGGGCACTTTGAACTCTCAGACCCGCCATCCCACTCAGTTCTGTGGTCTAGCTTCCAGCGGCTGAGATGCAGGTGGGGCCCAAGGCGCCCCACTGAGGCAGGTTGGGGATCTGTGGATTCGAACTCACAACTAGCCATTCCCTGCTTGGCCTACATATTCTTTGGTGCTTCCAGGGGTCACTCAGGTACTCCCTGCGGATACCTAGTGGGTTCTTCAGTCCCCTTAACTAACGCGAGTGTCCACGAGTCTGTTTTCTCATTTACTGAAGTGCCCTGGACCAGTGGCTGATTAATGGCCACTAAAGTTAAAGGAAGAGAGTGGATGGGCAAAAGGCTCCCATATCCTCTGGACTACTGCCTCATTTTCTGGCCCAGACCACTGGGTTCAGAGTTTGAGACACTAGACTGAGGAGTAAAGTAACATTGCCAGAACACACAGCCTAGAAAACCTGCCTCTCAGCCTTGCTACTAATTCAACTCATTTGAGTTCTCCCCACTGCCACCCAGGCCTATTTTGGAGGTGGAGATGTGTAGAATCAAATGAAATGATAGGAAAGTGTTTTGCAAGGCAAATTCAAGGCATTGTTTGTCAATCATAAGCAGCAATGAAGGCATTGCCTCCAACAAAGGATACCATGGGCTAAAAGTGCCATTTTTTTTTCAGTGGCAGCCCAACAAGAGTTAGATGAGATTTTCTTATTTTGTAGCAATGTGGGGAGAGGATTTCAATTGAGGGACAAGAGCCTGAGACTCCAGTGTCTTTCTTAAATGTTTGTCAGAAAGAAAATTGCTACCTAGAGGCTGCGCCACAGATGATAGTGAATGTGAGATTACAAGGTTGGTCAAGCCTCTCTGGAGGATTAAAGAGACACTGTGGGACGTGAAGAACTGGCTGACATGTGTTCATCCCTTCGTATTCCTTTGGAAACCTGTTCTGAGTGTGACCTTCTGTCACTTGATGGCCTGGATTGCCTTGCATTTGCAGCCAGAGCAAGAAGCAGTCCCTTAGCTAAATATACAGTGTGAATGTTTGTTTCCTGGAGGCACCTTAATCAGTATTGTACCTTTCTCTTGGTGTCTGACACATTTCTTGATCTCTTGTAACTCTCACACCCTCCCTTCCCACCCTTACCCCCAGTGTTAGTTGAAAAGTTTTGTTTTCTTTGTTCCTTTCTTATTGGTTCCTGAATCCCACCAAAACATGTCAATGGCTACATTTATAAGCAACCTGTGAAAGAGCCAGTGCAAGTTCCATGGCCCAACAGCCTGTGTGAAGCAGAGAGTTAATGCAGAAGTAACTACAGTTAACTGAGTCAAAGTATAATTTGAAAAATTAAGGACAGTTTGGTTCTTTGCAAGAATAAGAGTCGGATGTTTGCTGAGCAATGTTTGCTTGTTCTCTGCTGCAGTCCCAACAAATGTCTTGAGCTCCCCTTCTCCCAAATAAAAAGTTTAAAGGGATAAAGAGAAATTGAACAGTGGAGAGATCTGGGGAGGGAGTCCTTCTCATTTCACATTTCTGTACAGAATACAAAGGCAGGACTTCAAGATCTTGTAAATCAAAAGCAATTCATTTTCTGATATTCTCCATCCCTGCCTGAGAGGCCACTGGGATGACAGGAATGCCAAAAGAGATTAATTGCTCTCTAGTCACCAACCTTTCTATTTCCTCATAACATTAGTTGGGACCCAAGAAAAGCAAAAAATTCTAAGGACCATTTTCTTGCCAGCTTGAGTTATGAAGCAATGCTACTGTTCACTAAATCGCCCAACCATTGTACAAGAAAAACAACCCTGTTAGTTTTTGCATGGGTGGAGAACCAAAAGGCATGGTTTCAGAAACTCCCCCTGAGACCCATATATGATTGTGATAAGTTGGATTTCGATGGTTAAAAATCTGTCTCTTTTGTAGTCTTGGGAGATAAGCTTATTTCAGTAGGCTCAGAAAGAACCTCACCGAGGTGGGCAGCTATGTTAAATGATTAATGAAAATGCCTTGCTTCAAGGGAACCTGTAGCTCTCAGGGTATGGAGATGTTCTGAGTGACTGATAGTAGACCATAAACTCACAGAGGAGACCAAGACAACAGAACCAAGATCTTTGGAAGGCTAGGAACATGTCCTAGGAGAATGAGATCTTTTTATAAGGATCAGAAATGAGGTAGAGAAAAAAGACAGATAGGTGTTGTAAATCCTGCCTGATAGCACAAATTATTCTCTAGGATCAGTTTATCCTGGTTGCACATTCATAATTTGAAACAATGGATTTTGAATTTTCCCAGAAACTTCATAGCATTTACAGTCCACTTCAGAGCCAAAAGAATTAAATTCAACAAAATGAGCATTCTTTATGCTCTGTATTTAGGTTGGACTTCCTAAAAAGATCTTTGAGTTCAGTTACTATCCAAGGTTAACCCCAGGTTGAATTTTATGTTTCTAAACTATTTAATTTTTTCCAATCTCCTATTGAAAGAGTCTTGCAAGCTCTAAAGTCTATGGAAATGACTTATAATTAAATATGAGCAACAGCAAACTTGCTGATTTCTAAGGCGCAAAAGGCTTTAGATTTCTATACTTTAGAATGGAAATGCCAATCTCATGGTTTAATGAATTACAGTTGCTTTAATGGCCTTTTGGATGGTGGTGCAAGGTGAACAAATTCTATTTAAATTTGCCTAACTTCCTTAAAATGGGCCATTTAAGATTCTCCTTTCACGAGGGACTTTATGGGAGAAGAATATGTCTGAACCATTCTAAGCAATAAAACTTTTCAGGTATTGAATTGCATCCATTTGCTAATTGCATCTGGTTTTTTTCAAACATAAGTAGCTAAACTGAACATCCTTATAGATCTCACTGAGGACCAGAAAAAACATTAATCAATTTGCACTTAATTCCTGAAGGATTAATTATAACAGTAGCCTTAAAGCTAAGATTAGTTAACTTTCATTTCAGAAATTGCTTGAGCTCGTGCCTATTGCTTTTACCTTGTTTGCCAAAATAGCCCTTTCGCAAACTCTGGTCTCTTTTCTCTTCTCCCCAAATCTCTTGAGAAAATCAATTCCCTTTGAAAGGAGAATTTCAAAATTTATTTTTATTTTCTTCTGACTTGCTTATAAGAATTTAGCTTTGGTTTTAGACAGGAATGCATATTCATTCACTTGAATTTTCTCCCACAATATTTGCAAGACAAGAGACAAGTCTTTTTTCTTATGCAGACAAACAATTCTTGTACTTATGTAAATTGTCCAGCATTTTTTCCCTAGCAAGTTGGAAACCTAAGCATCAATGATCTCCACGAGTTCCAGAGGATTTGTTTTAAGTCTTTTTTTCTGTTCTCTTCCCAACAGTTTGAGTACACTACACCTTCGAGGTTCAGAGTTGCATTTTGCAGTGGTCCCAATGAGGAAAAAGTGGAAAACGGGAGGCATGAAATACATCTTTTCCTTGTTGTTTTTCTTTCTTTTCATAGAAGGAAGCAAAACAGAGCAAGTAAAACGTAAGTGTGTTGAGTTTAAAAAAATATACTTTTTTATAATTTCTTTGAAAATGTGGTTATAAACTACAGGGATTATGATTTAGACCAAATGTGGCTATGTCATTATTCTATGAGAAGAAAGTGAATGTTACTGGTTTATGCATGAGTTGTTAAAATAATGAGAGCTTTGAATGGGACCAATTAAATTTGGGACTGGTTTTCTGATTGTCATATAGTTTTTATCTCATAGAACACATGACACATTGGTCCATTTTTCTTGCTTTGCACTAAACTGTATAAATCTCATTCTAATTTACATAACTAGAAAATATCTGAGAAATGAGCTGGATTTTTTTCCAAATTTACTTTTCAACAAAGGTTTTTAGTTTATGAAAAAGAAAAGAAAAAGTAAAGCAGCCTCTGCTTATTTCTTTACGCCAAAAAAATGAAGAAGGGAGAAACCTTCACATGAACTGGTTTCACATGAAAAATCCTTTAAGGAAATTGAGATTCCAGGGACTGTCAACAAATTGAATGCCATTTCTTGAAAGGAATGTCCCTGAAAACCCAGGGAATATTTCTAGAAAGTCAGTAATCCCTGCCCCACTTGCAGCTACCCTCTGAGGTAGATGGCTTGCTTTAAATTTGAAGAAAAAACCACGGCTCCAGTTCCCCATTATGGCTGCATCAAAAGAAGCACAAAGTGGAATTGGTCCAAGAGGGCCATTCTCTGCTCCACTGAACTTATTCATGAAAAGGAGCTTGGTTGGAGCCACAGCAGGAGCATCTGAAGCCCATCACTTAAACATTTATCTCCTTTATCAGCATAAGTTAAATGTATTAGAAGAAAGCTTACTGACAAGGAGGATGGCACCAAGCCTATTCCATCTTTAAGTGCATTTCTTTCCCACTAGTTTTCATAGTGAAATGAAGTTTTCTTCTCGGGAAAACTAGTGCTTTTAATTAAGTTTTTAAGCATGAGTGATCTATAGTGATATTTAGTATCATTGGGACACAAAAGGAAATTTAGCGGGGCATGTTCTCAGGCATGTTCTCAGTAAGGAGTTGAGTTAGCCTCACTCCTTGTATTTCTCACACTACTTCCTTCTTCCACCTGTAGTGCATCTCAAAGCTCTCCTCTTCCACAAGTCTTCCTTTATGTAAGTGCATGTGAAATAAAATGGATGCATGTACATCCATTTTCAGCTTAGCTTACAGTCAGTGGGCTTGAAAATCCCTCTTCTCAGAAAGAAACTTGCCTTATGGCCTATTATTAATAGCTCATGAGGGAAGCTTGTAACTTTCATTAGACCATTTCTTCTTCTAGGAGGCCTGCCATATTTATGAAGAGGTGAGGAATACTGAACATGAAACCTAGAGGTTTTATTGACAAACCAAAGAAAGATGTGACTTAAAAATATTTATGGACCAAAACTAATATTTTGTACTGTTTCTTGGTGCTTATGAATTTGTTCCAAGACAGTTTAATATTCAGTTGATATCAAAGTGATTATATAACAGACAGCCTGAGGTACCAGTTCAGGTCTAATATTTCAGTATTATACTTAGATGATTGTTTTGGCTTGTGTCTGTATGTCCCCCCAAAGCCTCATACAGTCATAGGTGAGCCTTTTTCAGGGGTGGCTGGATCTAGAGTGTGTGACACTGGGATTGATTCATGGTGCAATGCTAGGATCAAGGGCACTAGGATTAATGGTATGAGTGCTACCCGGCCTAAGTAGTCTGGATAAGATATAAGGGATAGAAAGAGCTGTGGTCATCCCTTGCTTGCTTTGATACTTTCTGCCCACCATGAACTGTTTCTCCCCTGTGATGCCAGCCTGCCTTGGAGTCTATCAATTATAGACTGAAATCTCAACAAACTGTGAGCTAAATAAACCTTTCTCACTTTAACTTTGGGTTTTGGGTATTTTGTCTCAGCAATGGAAAAGTAAGACAATGATAAATCCAAGATCATGATCATTCCATGAATGTGTCACTGAGCATTATTCTGTGGCCTGACCTAAACTGTCTTGAAGATGTGCAAAGTTATTTCCACTAAAGGGGAAATATCAAAGCATATATCTTATGTATGTAACCTTCACACACACACACACAGCGTTTATCTTATGTAAGTAGCCTTCACACACACACACACACACACACACATACACACACACACAATATGCATCTATAGAGATATATATTTCAGCTCTAACAGTGAGAAGTTAGAAATAGTGGAAACGTCAACCCATAGGAGATTGGTTATATAAGTGACCGAAGTATTATATAATACCAAACTAACATTAAAAACAGTGTTTATTGAAATTTTGGTGGCCCTGAAAAATGCTTATATTAACTGATTTTTTAATCTTTGAAATTATAAATTTTATATATGCTCATCTTATAAAACAATATGAAAACATCTAAACTTTAAAAAGAACAGATAACCTTTAAGTCTGTTTTACTCTCGGAGAGTAACCATTATTAGTAGTTTGCTATATGTTTTTATAAACTTTTCTCTGTTAGAAAACAATACACACATTTCTGTTTCTTTATTTTATAAAAATTGAAAATCATACACATTATCTTGTACCTTCCTTTTGCTCAACAATGTCTCTAGGACAGTGATGGTGAACCTTTTAGAGCTTTCAGTGATAACAAATATCCCACTGTGGCACTCAGGCCATAGGTTCACTACTACTGGTCTAGGACATCCTTCCATGTCAGAATGTTGTAATGTGGGAATGCCATATTATTTCTAATACTTTAGTAGTTTCCAATTGCATATGTGTGGTATAGTCTATTTAATCTCTATTTGTAGACATTTAAATTGCATACAGTTTTTGCCATTAAAAGTAAGGCATTAGTGAACACCTTAAGACACTATTGCAAGTATTTATGAAGAATTGTTAGTCAAATTATATGATTGGTTTCAATCTTGACAAGTACTGCCAAATTACTCCCCAAAAAGTTGTATTAGTTTATACTCTCACCTTCTATGTATGAAGGTCCATATATAATTTCTTCCCCAAAAGTATTATTAATCATTGTATTTGGTATCTAGTTTAATAGAAACTATATTTAAGTTTTGCTTTAATATTTTTCTATTACTGTAGCATCTTTTCAACCCAATTTTAGATCAATTGGATTTCTCCAGCGAATGGCCTATTTTTATTTTTAGGCTGCTTGTCCAATCTGTATAAAAAAGATTATTTATTGACTTTTGTTTCTGGATTTGTTAGCTTTTTGTATTTCAAATACACTCTCAGTCTGCCATTTGATTTAAACTTTGTATATGTTGTATTTTTTACATTAAAGTTTGAAATTCTTATGTAGTCAGATCGTTCATTCACTTCTTGTATGAGTGCTAGATTTCTTATCATAGGAAGGACTTTTTCACTCTAGATTCTCATATTTTCTTCTGCTGCCGCCATAATTTGGGAGTTTATCTATAGTTCTCTATTCTGTCTGAAATTTGTATGCATATATGGTATACAATAGGAAACTGTTTAAAAATCTCTGTAGGTTTAGGAATGTTATTTTAATTCCTCTTTGTGCTTATTTTATCTATTCCAAAGTTTCCACCATTGACAAGTATTACTTTACAACAGGGGAAAAGTCCTTTAAAGTAAAAGCGCATCTTACTTCCTATATTTGTACTGTCAAGTTCTAGAGAAGGCAAAGTATGGAAGTAAATGAAAAAGAGGGTTATTTTAAAAATTAAATAAAAAACTGAGAAAACTTCAGGAAACGTGTAACTGCAGAAGTACTAAATCTTTCTGTATCTCTTTGCTGATTGACACCCTTTTACTCAAGAAACACCAGTTTTTTAGAAAAATCTTTCTAGGACTGATTAGAATAAAACCTTCTAGGTCAACAGAGTGTTCTGTAGCCCATTTGCTCTCCTATTTGGGGCATTAGGCTGGGATGTCATTATGGTGAAAGATGCTCTCTCAATTGGTGTATAAATCTGAAGATGTATGGGAAATGTACTTCACTTGCAGAAAGCTCTTTTCACAAAGACAGGTGAAAGTTTGTGCTACCACTTGCTACTAGCTAATTAGCCATAGTTATAGTTGCTCTTACAAGAGGGAAGACTGGCTCAGGAGACTAAACAATACTGATAGTTCACTGCACTGGATGAAAGTTTATTGTCTATGTAAAAGTTTGTTAATGTTGACCATTAGCAAAATTTGAGGACTTCAGCCAGGAAAAGATCTTTTTGTAACTTCATTATTTTTTTTTATTCACTAAGTTTATTGGTACATTTTAGGTGTACAATACAGTTACATTTACCATTGGATACTTGTATCTTTACATGATACATCTTCGTTCTTATTTTTTCCCCATTCCCCTGCCCTCCCTCCCACCCCTTCACCCTTCCCTATTTACAAAGATTTTGTTTCTGTTTTATCCTTTTCACATGTTTATTCCTTTCCTTTCCCCTACCTCTCCCACTTCCCCTTCCCCTTTGCACCTTTTCTTCCTATTTCACATTATCTATTATACATTTTGATCCTTCTTTACACTTTCAGTTTCTCACACTAGAGAAACTATTCAGTATTTACACATGTGTGTCCTATTTATTTCACTTAAGAGTATGACCTCAATGTGCATCCATTTAGCTATGTCTCCAGTTTCTCATTTTTTGTGGCTGAATAGTACTTTATTATATAAGGAAAACCACATCTTCTCTATCCAATCTCCAGTTGATGGGCAATTGGGCTGTTTCCAAGTTTTACCTGTTACAAACTGTGCTGCTATGAACATGGGTGCACATATATTGCTGTGGTATGATTCTTTTAATTCTTTTGGCAAGATACCCAGCAGGGGAATAGCTGGGTCAAATGGGACCTCTAATACTAGTTTTCTGATGTATCTCCATACTGATTTCCACAGTGGTTGCATCAGTCTACACTCCCACCAACAAGCGAGAAGGTCTCTTTCTCCCCACACCCTCACCAGCATTTGTTATTGGTTGATTTCTTGATAGAAATCATTCTTTCTGGAGTGAGGTG